GATAAAGGAGAGTACTGAGCTAGGTTTACACCTAGTTTTGCTATAATCTAAATTTACTCCTAAATTTACTATATTTTTAGACAAATCATTTAACTTCCCTGAACCTTTCTTGCTTATCTGTAAAGTGAGAAACTACTAGATGACCTCTAGCTCTAATTGTGCATGGTGTGGAAATATTTTGTGTCCAGTAAACACAAAACAATTAAAATAATTGGCGTAGCTGGTTATGATTCGTGCTTTCCAACTATAGTCAAAAGACAGTAGGAAGCAGGGTCAGAGGATTGGAATGAGTCCTATGTCTCTGGTTGCAGCTTGCAACTTCCAGAGATTAATAGCTTTCCATGGGGTATTTCATGATTTAAGTACGATATATGTCCTAAGGATGTCAAATTCCAGATTCATGTACCCAAGAGCCTAGTCAGGATCACCTGATGTCCACAGATATTTCCAATTTAAAATGTTTAAATCCTCTCTCCAAAGACTGTTCATCTTGTCATCATCTCCATCTCAGTAGATGGCAATTTTCTCCATCTGGTGCTGAAGCCTAAAACCTGAGTCCTCACTTTCTCTCATTTCACATTTAATTTTCCAGCAGATCCTGTTGTTTCAACCTGCAAAACTGACCCAGAGCCCAGCAGCATCTCACAATTTCCTCTGTTACTATCCAAGTCCAATTACCATCATCCCTCTCCTGGATTACTGCCACAGCCTTCTTTCTCCCTCTAACTGCTGCTTTCACCCTTACCTCCCACCTCTTGTCTTTTCACAGCCAGAGTGGTTCTTTGAAAACACTAGTCACATCACACCAGTCATCTGCTCTGAACGCAGCAATGTTTCCTCATTTCACTCAGAGTAAAGGCTCAAGTCCTTATGATGGTCTGCACGTCCTCCCATGATCTACTCCTCCCCACCTACCTATCATTTCTTTGACTTGCTCTGCTACCGTTCTCCCCCTCTCGCTCAACTCCAGCCACAGTGGCCTCCTTGCTGTTTCTCAAACACACCATGCATGCTCCTGCCTTGGGGCCTCTGCACAGAAAATTTCTCTTGCTCTGCATCTGCACAGCTACCACCTTTACCTCCTTCTAACGTTGCTTTTGTAGTGAGGCCTACCTCGATCTCCCTATTTAAACTTACACCCTGTCTCCTCCTTCTTAACCCAGAATTTCAGATCCCCTGCTTCATTTTCTCTCCAGTTATATATTATGTTTAATGTTTATTGCCTGTACCCCTGCCCTGAATATAATCTCAGGAAAGGCAGGGATTTGGGTATGTTTTGTGTTCAGCACAAACAGACACTCAATAAATATTTGTTGAGTGAATAATGAGTTTCACTATGGGCTATAAGCATCCCAATGTCTGTGCACCCACTGCATCCACTTCCTAGAAACGCCTGTCCAGGATTCACTGAGCACTGTCCAAATCCCTTGTTGGCGATGCCTGCCATGATCAAGAATCTCGTGAGAGCTAACCTGCTCGAGGAACCGTAATGGCACATAATGGCAATTATTGCTTTCTTTGATTTTAAGACTATTTTCTCCATTGAGCCATGGATCTCCAAAATAGGGGAAAACTCAGTGATCTGCAATCAATTAAATTAGTAATGTTGAAAGAAGTTGCCAAATAGCATTCTAACAAAAGATCTAGGCTCACTTCTTGGACTGTTTTCCTAAAACCAACTTTAGCTCTACATTTTTTATATCTAATCTTCAAAAAATTTTAAAAGTCATTTCTACATTTATTTGGGGAAATCATAACTATATTTTCAGTGCTTCTTCATACAGACCTATTAGTTTGTCCAACTATCCATAAAGCAGAATTTCTAATTCCAAATGGAGTGTCTGATAATCCAATGCAGAGAAAGACAGTGGACTCATTTGAAAGGAGATTCCCACCAAAGGGGAGGCTGTCAGTGGCAGATTACTTGGTCCTAATATTTATAGCTTCTATAGGTTGGAATCAACACCCCATCATCTGAATTACCATTGTTCATGAAAGGCAGTAGAAGACTTTTGCAAAACAGAAGAATGTATATGTCCTTAAACTTCTGACAGTCACGGGCTATGTGAATAACCTTAGAAAGTTTGCTGATGGCAACTGACTTTCAGAGAGCTTAAAACAGGCATTTTTCCTAAACCCTTGTCACCTCCATCACCATGAAAAGAATACAAACAATAGAGGAAAATATTAAAACAAACAAAAAAAGCAATAGAGAGCACTACACTGGATAGACTCTCCACGCAGCAGACAAGTCGCTGGCACAGCTCACATAACTATAAGATCTGAACCTTAGGTTTCCTAGAGCCTCAGAATAAGTCAGCAGAAGTCTCTGAAGACATGATTGTTGGCTTGCACCTTATTTTGAGAAATAAAACTGCAGCTTTGCATAAAGGGGCCATTTCACTGCTAATAATAATGTAATATGTAGTATCATTGCACTTGAGGTAAAGATGAACAATAGGTCATAAAGGTAAAAAAATGCATCATATGCTGTTATTCCCTATAACTCAGAAAAAAATATTAAAATCCATTACACACTACCTCAAATACTTTTGCAAATTTGTCATCTCATTGAACTTTAATTCCAACAATGTTTTCAATGTCCAGCATTATTAAATCCAAAAAAGATTTGAGGCATATTTGAAATATGTAAAATTCATATTCCATATTAGTTCAGATGTGCTTTTAACAAACTAATTTATCTCAGACATTTCATTCTAGTTTCTGTTTGGTTTTTGAAAAGCAGGGCTCAACTTTAAAAGCAGCATAATAACTACCCTTTACCAAAAAAAAAAAAAAGTGACAAAGGCAGGCTGAACAGCACTCATTTTGACTTGTAGTGGTAACCATCCATGCTGAGGATTCTCATGCCCCACACCCACTCCGGGAAACCTGAATAACAAAACAGGACTCCAGGCCTGGAGCAAATGCTGCTCATGCCTCATCTCCTGGGAAACTCAAAAACTTCCCAAGAATGAAATTACAGCAGCAAAGCAGGAGCTGAGTGAACCCTGGAGCTCTAATACACTGTCTTTTGCAGACAACAGTGCTTCAGTGTCAAAGCCACAAGGCCAAGGGCAGGCACAGCATCCAGAAGAAAACCTCCATCAGCAAGCTCAAAACAATGATCACAGAGAGGTGGCCCCAGACGAGCCAAGGACAGATGCTCAGCTCACTGAAGTGTCTGAACACAGAGCACTCCAGGAATCATTTTTCCACTCTGGCATTTTAATGAGAAACAAAGAGGAAATGCAAAGGTTTTATGATCATTTTATTTTTGTGTTAAAAATAGCAGTTACTCTTTTAGAATGCCTGTTTCTCTCCAACATTAATAGACGTTTTAAAATATTTGGTTAGAAAAATGGAAATAAGCTAAATTTAAAATCCACGTACATGAATCATAAATACTAACATGCTGGGATGAAAAACAAAACTAAACAGGAGTTTCCGAATTGGACTAAACTCTCTCCACTGAGTGCTTTAGAAAGAAAATACAGAGTTCTCAATTATGGCACAACAGAGTGTGCAGGAAATTTATTTGCTTTGTTTTGCCAGTAAGGTCCTTCTTTCACGTTCCAAGAGTGTTCTTTCAGTTCCACACTCTCAGCTCACACCGCTGAAAAACACGCTTTGGTGTTTCCTTCAAATTTGAAGCTAATCAGAAAAGAGGCAGAAGATTGTGAAACACAATTAACCTTGAAAGAAAGTAGTTCTGCATCATGCTTGTCAGGTATCTGGGAAAAAAGGACTTCACTTAAAAATATTCAGCTGAATAATAATTTTTAAAATATCACCTTTCCTAAAAAAATATTACTATAAGTTGGATGAGGAAAATACAGAATGCTCTTGCTAACTCCTTGAAAAGGTCCAGGTCACCGTTTGGGCCACAGCGTAAATGAAAGCTTCTGAGCCAGCCCAGCGCTTTCCTTGGGCCCCCTGGCAATTAGCTTCCTTGCTAGGAGTCAAGTTTTATAAACTGCTAATTGACCAGGCAGACTTGGCTCTGCAAGGTAGTTTCCAATTTGACTCATGCTTGTGGTCTTTGAGCCGAACAGTTATTTGTGGTCTAAATGCCATAAGACATTCTGTAAGACAGTCTTCTGAGTGATAAGCTTAGACATTCAGACTTTGGTGGACTTCTTGCCTTTCTGTCCACAGACTTGAGATGATAGGAAGGAAGGGAAGAAAGAAAGAGGGAAGGGGAAAAAAGGGGAAAAGGAAGGACAAGAAAAAAATCACAATTCATTTAAGTGTGGCAAAATAGCCACACTCAAAAGAAGAGCCATAAAAGAAGCCAAAAGCATAAAGTACATCTTATAAGATCTGTCCCCCAAATAAACAAATATATCACTAAAAGAGTAAACAGAGGGGAGCTGTAAATCAAAATCTTCTGCCTAATGCATTCCTCAAGCTTCTTTCTGAGAGCAGATGTCAGTGAGAAATGCATGTCCAAGAAGCCAGACAACTCAGAGGTCAGAGAAAACCGACGTGAGTTATTTTCATCACTGGGACAAGACCACCTGGCCCTCTTCTGGAGCCTTAACAGGTAATGTCCCTCCGTCTGATTCTCAAAACCATACACTGAGAGAAAAGAAACACCTTTGCTTTTAGCCATCACCACCCACAATTTTAGCAAAGATGGCACAAGAGACAATAAAAATATTCAGGACCAACAGTAAGATTTTCCATTACATCCATTATTCTTTGCTGACTAACTTAGTTCCCCATGGCCTCCTCACCTCAATCAAGGGAAAAACATGCCTTCTAGGTCCCATTATTTTCCCCTAATTTGTTCCTTCTCAAACCAAACTCCCCAGAATGTAGCCTATATTTGCTTAAAGAGGGTTCTGGAAAGTGAGAGATCCTTTCTGCCTGCGGGAAATGGTGTTAGCTGAAAACCTAGTGGAAACTTTGGTAGAAGTACTATGAGGAATAGTTAAATATTTACAGCATAAGAACCAGTTCATTTGAAAACAAACGTACAAGTGCCTGGCTCCGTTCCCTGTCTCAGGAATCAAGAATGCTCTCTTGCTGAGAGCTGCCATTTTATCGCCACGGGAACCGGGCGTGCACAGCTCTGCAGACTGGCATTAGATGAGGTGAGTGCATTCTGACGCGGCCATCCTCCAGATGGCAAATTCACAAAGAAGAAATGTTTAGGGGGGGAAAGCATAAAATCTGACATCAAATACAGGCGTACCCCTATGAAAGCTCATCAGTCTACTCATTGCATTGCCCCAAACTAAATAGAATATTAAAAAAAAGTAAGGAAAGCCAAATTACATCAGCCTTAAACAAAACACTGGACTATATTGTTTAGGCAGCTGAAACCCACATCCCGCTGAAGAAGGAAGGAAAAAGAAAGGAGGATAGAAATAAAGCTTCTCACAGACTGTTATATAAATAATTCTCAAGGCTCAATGTCTCAAGTTTGTTTTAGGGCCGAGGTGGTGGCTTCAAGATTAGGAAAGTGGACAAAGTAATTTTTATTAGAGACGCTTCTGTGTATCGCTGGCGTTTTGTTGTGTTTAGGGTGAGCCAGTTCAGCCCGTCTGAAGTGAGACTTCGGGAACGTCAGTCTCGTGTCCTCCTGTAATTCTGCCTCTAACAGTCAGGTCCCCTGCATGGATGGCACTGGTGGTTCACAGCTTCCTGGTGACGGTGTTGGCCAAGTGTGAGGCCCTCAGCAGTGCTGAGACGCTGCCCTTGATGAATAGGAGGATTTAAAAAAAATATTTGGCAGCAAGAGGCTCTTGGAGATGGAAACAGAAAAACAAAGGAGAAAACCACAAAAATCCCACTGAAGTCAGCTCCGTTTTTCTGCACTCCTTGTGTTCTGAGGCGCTGCTTTGTGCTTCTGCATTCCCTCGTGAGGGCTGAATGCTCGAGGGTTTGATCTGAGTCACCCTCGTCCCTTCGGATCACACAGTGGTGCAGATAAGGTGCTGTTCTCTGGCAGAGCCTCAGCTGTGAGGCTGGAGGTCTGACCCAGGGAAAAGTGCCCCTTCATCCTTTCATCTGCTCTTGGGATACAAGTGACCGTTGAATGATTTGAAAGATTCATGAAAGAGTAGGGAAATGCCTCCACGCTAGGATGACAGAGCGAGGGTTCTATAGGAGGACAGTCATGGGGCCCCTCAGCCTGGTGATCCCGCACCCCCATCTTCTCACTGCCTCTACAGCGGGCCCTCTCCAGTGACCCCTCTGCCCTCTCGGCCTCTTCCTCCCCCTTCATTTACATTGACTAACCCCCTCAGTCAGGCTTCAGAGTTCATGGTTGTCCAAACTGCTGCCCATTGATGGCCAGATCTGGCTGTCCCTTCTCAGGATCCCCCCCTCCCCACCACCCCTCTTCAGTGTTGGCATTGTTAACCATTTCCTCCCCTTAAAACATTTTCTCTTGTCAGTGTACTATTATTCTTTCATATGTTACTTGTGTTGTATTTTTTCTTTCTTTAACTATCAAGGTACAAGGCCCTCCTCTCTTTGCCATTTCTGCTCTCTTCTCAGGGATCTCAGCATTCTCATCTTTAACAATCATCTCTGTGTGGATATCTCCCAAATAATAGCATTGCTTCAGATACTGTCCCTGGCTCTGTCCTGCATTTCCAACCGACCATTGGACACCCTCGCCGGCAGAGCCTGAGACCAGTTTAAGACTTAAGTCGTCATCATTCTCCAAACAAAAAAGTCACCAGTAAAGTATTGTATCCATGTTCAAATTACTAGAGCTGGTAATTGTCATGCAGTTATGAAACAGAATATTCCCGTTCTCAGGAAACACCCACTGGTGTGTTTGGAAGTAAAAGCCCTGCGGTGACTCACCCTCACGCAGTTAAAAAGTATTATGGAGAGAAAGCACCTGTGATAAAGCGGGGTAAAAAGACATCTGGCTACAGGATATGTGAGTGTTCTGTGCACTATTTGTATCCTCACAAAGTTTCTCTAATTTTGAAATAACTTCCAAATAAAAAGTTAACAGAATTGAGAGAGTTAAGTTCTCACGTCTGTGTTCCTGATAAGCAGGGAGCCCGGCACACTGCAGAGGCCCAGAGGCCTGTGAGGAGCAGGCGTCTGCGGCCTGAGCCTCCTGCACCGGGTCACTCCTTCTGTACCGTTTATGCTCACGTTCCAGCGGGCCGGGCTTCCCGACATCTTGTCCCCAGTTCACCTGAAATTATACTAACGTGAAGATACATGTGAGGGTAGCATGATAAAATATATACGTATACACACATATATACTATATTCAAAATGCAATATGTGTATATAAACACATGTGTTTATTAGCTTTCATAGTGTCATCCTAACAGTTCCTATTTTGGTGCTAAAAATTTAGAGTTCTACAAGGACTACCCAGGTATCTTAAATTTAGCTTATTTAAATTAGGATACTATGTGTTCATTCTTTTTTTAATATAATTTTATTTTATTTTTTTAATTTTAATTGTTGTTCAAGTACAATTTTCTGTCTTTTACTCCCAGCCCAGCCCACCGCCCCCCCCAGCCCTCTGCACTATGTGTTAATTCTTAGTTTAAAAAAAAAAACAACAGAATAAATGTGGGCCAATTTCTATAACTCAGAATATAGCATGAGGTAAGACTACATAGAAGAAAACTGAATTATTTGATAATTAACAAACAAAAGACATGTAAAAAGTTAAATAATTATATTTCTGTAATGCAGTAGAGTAGTCAAAACATATAACAGAAACTTCCTTTAACCCTTTTGTAAAATGAATCACTACTCTGAATGCCACGAGCAAGAACAGGAAAACACTCAGTTAAAATATTTATATCCCATTAAACACCAACATGACTATTTGAACTAAATACATTCTTGAGGGGGGAAATGTAAAACTGAGTCTATCCGGTCAGCTCTGAAACAGAGCCTATCACTCTGCCAAATAACAAGAGCACCAGCGGTGGTGGCAGCTGGTGTAACCGATCTCAGACTGCGTGCCACGCCCAGTTCCAAGTGCTCTCTGTGCTCTCGACCCTCTTACTCTCCCACAAATCCTATGAGGCAGGTACTACCAGCAACTCCACTTCACAGAGGATGGAACTGAGCCCCTGAAAGGGTAAGGGATTTGCTGAAGGTCCAGTCTAAGACAGAGCTAGGACTTGAACACAGAGCACACCAGCATCCCTGCTCTCAGCCACCAGTTGTGTTTATTTAGATAAAATCCAAACCAGCCTGACTCAGCTTTCTACTACACAGTAACATGGTTTTTCAATACACAGTCACTTAACTTTGACTTCAGAGATTTCCTCATGTTTCATATTACTCACATAATTTCACTATCAGTTTTATGTCAATTTCTGCATTAGGGGAATCCAACTGGTACATAAAAAACTCCAGATTATTGCTGTTAAAACATGACTTATGACCCAGAAAGCAGAAATGCAGGAGGATTGAACCTTTCAGGATCCCATACCATGTTATTAGAATCACAGAATCTCAAGGTTAGATAAGAACACACACACACAGAGACAGAGAGAGGGAGAGAGAGAGAGAGACATCGTCTTACCTCGGCCCCCCAGGGAGCCTGAATTTCTTGTAGAACACTGCCTGCTGCCAAGCATTGTTCAGCCTGACTCAAGGCCTCTTCTATTTTCAAACAACTCTGTTAGAAAGTTCTTCCTAATGTCAGACCTGATTTCTGCTTTCACCCATTGATCCTAATTCTGTGCTTTGGAGTCTTATCCAGCTTTGACATCATGATCTCTGGTATATTTAAAGGAATACACAACTTTGAGCCTTCTTTAAGATAAAATGCCCAGATGTGATGACCATGAACCTTGAAAGATAGATTAACACAAAGTTCCATGAAGTGAAGGCCTTATCTTCCTCACTTGAGGTACCACTCATATCTTTTGTATGTATTTGAGAGACTGGATTGTTCTTTGATCCCATCACCTGATCAAAACTCCAAGTCCCAGTTAATTCTGCATTTTGTGTAGCAGTGACATTCAACTCGAACAATTATTGGAAGAAGTTCTTTCCCTCTATCAGGACCTGGCCATGGGCACCTTTCCTGGGTCAAGTACTGTACATGCCCATGGCGACCCCCTTTCCCCTCACTACCTCACCTGACGCCATCACCATCAACGGGCTCCTGCTGCATCAGCTCTAAAACCCTTAGCTGTTAAACAGCCACAAGCAGCAGGATGATGATTTGCTTTCAACCTCAAGCAGGATATGTAAACACCATGATAAACGAGGAGAGGCCCCAAAGCTGCATTTCTCCAGCAGGTCCTCTTAAATGGAAACATGCTGCATTTCAGCCTCAGTTGGCATCAATCATTCATTTCCAATCAGGACTGACCTTACCCAGCCTTCCCATCAGGCACTTTCCCCATCTGATCCCCTGAAGAACACATGTCAGTCAAAATTGCAGGTAATTCATGAGTCACTGTGCCCCAGAAAACAAAAGAGCACTGATTGCACATTCATTAACTGTGCTTTTCTTTGAATGTGGTACTTGCAAGATGCACTAAGGGACTTATTTTTAGAGAAAAGAATTTTAACACCAAAAATCAGACATGTCTTCAAATATGCTTGACCTTGCTATGGTCTCTTGTGTTCCTGCTCTTTTTCTGTTTATTATGTGTTCATTTCCCCATGCTCCCATTCTCAGCTAGCTTCCCCCTTTGCACCCTGGTGAGGTCAATCGGTCTCAGAGGACAGCCAGGCGTTTCTCCAAGGGTGACACGGAGCTTAACTCAAACTGTTCTGGAGAAGGGGGAGGGATGGGTAAAGATCAACCACAGAAAACCATCTGGATTCACTCACAGCCCCACTCTGAAATGCCCTTACTCAGGACACAACTCATCCATGAGCTTCTCAAACCTTAGACGAGCATCTGCAAACAGACTTTGGCTCACAGGCTTGTTTTGGTTGGCCTGAACTGGTGCTTTCAATTTGAACACTTAATCATTTAGGATCATTCATATTTTAAAAATCCAGATTTCTGGCAACACTGGGTCTGCATTCCATCATAATAATAACCCATTAGATTTGAGAATCAGCTGCGCTCTTTAAATGGAGCGTGAGTCCACCAGTTTTCCCCAGTCCTCACCACCCCACGTTAGTTCTT